CATTCTGGTGAATGGGAATTCTTTCAAGTTGCTCTTGGGTCCTTGACCAGTCCCAGTAGCCTTTGATAACTTCCTTATTTTATGATGATAGACTGTTTTCAGTTCATTTTACATATTTTGTGCCCTTGACCTTGAATTACCCATTTCTCCAAGGAACTTGATTTCTTCTAGTGCTAAATGGTATTTGGAGTCCACAGTGGTCTCTGGACTGTCATTGCTACTCTACTAGGCTCCCATTGCTTCTAGGCATTATTTTTTTTTCCCAGTAGGAAGGTTATTTTAAAAGAAAACTGTCATGAACTTGCACTCCTATACTCAATTTAAATTTAAGATTATGGGAATTCCAGAGCTGGGGGTATAGCTCAGTGATACAGCGCACGTTTAGCATGTATAAGACTCTTGAATTGATCCTCAGCAGCAAAGAGAAAAAAAGAAAAAAAAAAGATAATAGGGCTGCTTATTTTAAGAAACTCCTCAATTTTATATATATTTTTAAATGCTGAAATGCTTAGTTCCTAACTATTGCTATGACTATTTATTTAAAATATTATTACTAATATTATAACCAACAGCAAAAGACTATTGGGTAAATGACCAGATTTCTCTGCTGTTCCCTGTATCCCACGGAGGATATGCAATTACAATACTGTTCTAAGGTCAGTTGGGATAATTGTTTTCTCTTTGCGGTTATAATACCAACTTGATATAGCAAGGTTCATTTGTTTCAGTTCGTTTTCAATTTTCAAGAATCGATTTTTCCCCCTCTTGGTTCTTTTTGGGTCTTAATATATAAAACATTTACATGGTTCAGAAGTCAACACTATAGTGAGGTACATTCAGAGAAATCTTTCTTTCACTTCTATTTCCTCTCCCTCATTCCTTTACTCCCCCAGTAGATAACCAGTTGTATTGGTTTCTGGATCATCTCATATTTTAGGCAGGATATCACTTGGATAGCTATCCTAAGATAGGGATTCTGAGTCGAATGTACTTTTATATGTAACTTTACTAGATGTTTATACCACGTGGTTCTACTTTTAGCTCTTTGTAACTATAATCACATAAGTAGAAATGATCCTTTTTCTTCTTTTCATGGATTTCCCCCCACCCCCACCCCGGTACTGGGAATCAAATCCAAGGCCTTACAAAAGGTAGGCAAACCCTCTGCCACTGAGCTACATCCCCAACTCTTTTATTTTTTATTTTAAGTCTGAGTCTTGCTAAATTGTCCAGGCTGGCCTCAAAATTTACAATCCTTCTGCCTCAGCTTCTTTAGTAGCTGGGGTCACAGTTTACACCACCACACCTGGTCCTTTCATGGATTTTTTAAACTCATGTTGTTCATTAATACAAGGTTGAAGTTTTTCAAGTGAATAGGGCTTTCCAGTTTTTGTTTTGTTTTTAGCTTCTACTTTTAGTGTATTGTGTGTGATGATAAGAATTGTTCATGATATTTCTAGATCACAGAACCTATAGTACTTTCTTAATTTCCTAACATACGTCCAAATTTTGTGACTGTTCCATTTGCTCTTGAGGAGGTATATTTTACATGATAAGTATTTGAATATATTCCCTAACCCTATTTAATGCATTATATTGCTTTAGTCTTTTGTCCACCTGATGTAATTCTTACTGAGTAGCATATTAAAGCCTCCATTCATTTGTGCATCTATATCTCCACATATCTCCTGTGATTTCTGCTGCATATTAATAAGTTTTATGCTATTTGATGAATAATTATTACTATCCATTACTTCTTTATTTCGAATTATTACTTTTAGCACTATAAAATATTCCTTGTCTCATTTAATCCTTTTTTTTAAAAAAAAAAAAGTCTGTTTTTAAATCAGGATCTGAATTTCTGCTTTTTGATTATTTCTGTTGTTGTCACCACTCAAAGATAGAACTGGCCCCCTAACCAAAATTTGGCTTCCAGATGTGAAGACTGATGATGCCACTTGTGTACCTGGAAGACAGGGACAGGTCTTTACTCACCCCATGGTGCCTTCTAGGAGAGCAGGGCAGCCTTAGGCAGGCTCTAAACTAGTTCCAGACAGCAGGAGAAGATGCTGCTTTGGCCTTTATGGCATTAAAAGAAGCTATAATGAGGGTCCTGTGTAGTCTGAGCCTTGTGTTGTTTGAACTTCCCACAGAGGCCAAAGGAGGAAGCACCCAGGCCGCCTTATCAGCTTGCCCAGAGTAGAGCAGAAGGGGAGGGTAGTGGGACTTGAAGCTCTAAGCACTCAAACATCAAAAATGGAATCAGACACTTCACTTCTGATCACTGTAATTTTTGTGTTTCTATTGTGTATATGATAAAGCTGTATTTTTCTTTATGACTCAATTTGAAATATTTTCCAACAGACAAGCTCATTTACTTCTGCTGTTGACATGCTTGATATAGTTGATCTCAACTCCATCATGGTATTTTATAATTTTTGCATTACATTTAACCTGTTGTTTGTTTTTCTCTACTTAGTGTGTCTTCTTTGATTTTTCAAAATTTATTTTGGCATTTAGAAAGGTTTCTCTCTCTGTTTCAGTAGTTTTCTTTGTGTATAAGCCCTTTACAATGCCCATATTAGTTATCTCTTGCTGTGTAACCAAGTACCTAAAACAATAGTCTAAAACAATTATTTTCTCACCATTTCTGTGGATCAGGAATTTGGGTGTGATGTAGCTGGGTGCTTCCTACCTAGAGAGTCTCTAATGAAGCTCCAGTCAATTGTTAGCCAGGGTTTAAGTCATTTCAAGGCTCAGCTGGGGCTGGAAAATCTGCATTAAACCCATTTATGTGGCTGTTGGCAGGCCTCAGAAGATTCACTTGCAGACTTGCTCACATTGCTGCTGGCAGGCCTTGGTTCCTTATGACATGCTAGAGGTTTCCTGTGGACCTTCACAATGTGGCAGCTGGAGATCCAAGAGAGAGCAAGAGGATGCCCAAGATGGAAAACTATAGTTTTCAAATAGTGTCTTTATAACCTAATCTCAGAATAACATCTTAACACTTAACACTGTGTTATATTTGATAGAAGTGAATATTTAAGTGCAGCCCATACTCAAAGGGAGTAGTTTACACAAATACATGAACGCCAGGAAACAGGAATTATCGCCTGCCTCTTTAGAGGCTTCCTATAATAATCCCCTAAATCCTTTGACTCCCAAGGTCTTATTCTACTTTTTGTTTTATTTCTCTGCTTTCCTTTCATTTTAAAATGGCATTCATTCTACTTTCTCAGAAAATATGATGCTTAAATACTATTATCCTCATGTCCTCAACTTCGTTTTATTCTTAGCTATACAATTAAACTCAAGAAATGTTCATTGTCAGTTCTTTGGCTGAAATTCCACAGGCATCTTTTGATTGGATGACATCCACCTTCTAATAGATTCCTCAGGAAGGGAACATATTCATAAAATCCCTACACTTTATGCATATTCAACCCTTTTTCTATAGCCCTGATAATTGAAGAGGAGCTTACTATGCATAAAATCCTTGGCTTACATTTTTAAAGTTTTTGGAATGTGCTGCTGTATTATTGTCCCACTTAATAGGTTGTTTTTTAAAAATCCACCTAATTCTTTTTGCCTTTGTAAATAATTTTACCTTTTTGCCTGAAGACTATGAGAATTTTAAAACTTTAAAGTCTGTAAATTCTACTAAGATATGACTCATATTTGATCAGCCTGAGACAGTTTTCCTGGGAAGCTTCTGGGCCCTTTTGTGTTTTGTTCTATTTCTGGAAAATTTTCTTGGATTATACTTTAAATATCAGTTCCATTCCATTACCTTTCTTCTTCATAAGCTCCTGTTATAGCGCATTGGACCTTCTTTGACTGCCTTTTAGAGTCATGTTTTGCTTCACAACAGGAATACATTTTGAGAAATGCATTGTCTGACAATTGTGTTATTGTGTAAGTGTCATACATACACGAATTAAGATGGCTGCCATATCACTAGGTTTTAGTCTTATAAGACCACCTTTGTAAATGTGGTGCATCATTGACCAAAATATTATACAGTGGATATCTGTGTTGGCATTGGCTGCCACTTAAGAGGCTTTCTACTGAAATTAACCATTTTCCCTTTTGAAAGTTTTATATTCATTTTCTTGGGAGTTTTACTGCTTTATTTCAACATAACTTATTATATTTTTATTCATATGTATTTTCCTTTATGTATCTCTTTCCTCTGTGTTTTGGTCTGGGAATGCCTTATGGTATTATGAGCTTTTTAGTGGTTTTAAGGTTGGTTGTTTCTTTTAAATTTGATATTTTACTAAGAATTTTTAGGGTTTTTGTTTGTTTGTTTGTTTAGCACAGGTTTGAATAACGTAGCCTGCTGTTAATAAAAACAGAAACCTGACCCAATCTGAGATGTGTTCCTAAAGTTGCAAATGTCTTGTCAAAAGTGTGAGGAAGGTTATACAAAAAGGAGATGTCATATCTCTTTAATTTGAAGAGACTGAGTGAGTGCTTAATAGCTTATTTGTGACTATAAACTTTAACTTTGAAATTTACTCTTCCATGTTTATCTTATGCTGATGTTTTTGAATCTCTGCAAAGCTACCAAGGCATATAGACTTGTGTTTGCCTGTTTGAGGGCTTATTGTCATGAAAAATAACTTTAAAATAAGCAGATAAATAGGAAATGATTTAGTATATTTATTGGGCAATATCTGTTTATCTCACTGGGAAGATAAAAGTGGCAACATATAGGAGCAGCTTGTATTTCCGTGTCTGCCTGAGCTTAGTTTAGAATCCCTAAGTCAGCCTAAAATGGATTCTAGACTTTGGGACAAGAATAAATCTAGACCAGCCAAGTGGAGTAAAAACCTTTAGTTAAAATATTTGGTTCAAGCATTGGATGTATTTTTTGAAGATCAGTATTTTCTAAAACCTTCCTGTATTTGAAAATGCTTTAAAAAATTATGACCTACATTCAGGAATTAACTGTATTTTTTAAATAAAATTTCTGTTTTTTGCTCTTAGGTGATCAAAGAAAAGATCTGAAAATGACAAGTAGAAGACTTGAGGAATCGATGGGGGCTGTTCAGATGGGCTTAGTCAAAATGTTAAAAGGGCTCCAAAGCAAGGTTTTGCCACCCCTGAGTCCCAGGGTGGTCACAGAAGAGGAAGTAAACCGCATGGTAATGTATCAGAGAAATTGTATATAAAATACTATTTTTATTGTTAAGTATTTTTTTATTAGTTGCTCATGACACTACAATGATCTTGACGTATCATACATTTGAATCAAATAGGGTATAATTTCTCATTTTTCCAAGTGTACAGGTTGCAGAATCGCTTGCCTCTTCAGGTCATGACATCCCCAGAATATCAAACAGAGTTACTGACTGACTAGTATGAATTTAGTTAGAATAGTAGCTTGCTGCAGAGCCTAATTACCTGTTAAAATTCAAGAAGTTTTGAAATTGCCTGCACACTTGAAAGTACAGGCTTGAATTGCTTAAATTAATCAGTTGGGGTTAAGACTCTGTGTCTTAGTCCATTTTCTGTTGCTCTAACAGAATATTAGAAAAGGCGTTTATTTCAGCTCATGGTTCTGGAGCCTAGGAAGTCCAAGATTAAGTGGCTGTATCTGGTAAGGGCCTGTGCTACACCCTAGCATGTCAAGAAATTGGAAAAACAGGGCTGAGATGTAGCTCAATGGCAAAGCGTCTGCCTTGCATTGGCAAAGCTCTGGGTTCGACCCCCAGTTCCAAAAAAGACAAAAAAAAAAAGAACCCCACCAAAAAAAAATTAATAAGATAAAAAAAAGAAATTAGAAAACAGGCAGGCATGTGCAGAAGCAAGAAGAGGGGGCTAGACTCTGAGAAAAGGGTTATTTTATTCATGAGGGCTCTAACACAACAAATTAAGGTTCCAACACATGAATTTGTATTGGAACCATAGCTCGTATATACAAACTTAAGGTTTTCTTAATGTCAGGTATAACTGGATTAAATTGTCTTTTGTTTAGTTCAGAAACAATCAAATATAAGGATTTCACAGGATTCAAACTAATAATTTATTATTTCTACATTGGCAAGAGTTATTTGGTTTATATATTTATAGAACACTGCACATTAAAAAATGACTAGTATATGGTATCTAGGAAAAAATGCATGATTTTTCTTTTAAAATAAAAAATAATTATATCTTTAATTATCTGTAATGATTTGTGAGAACTAATTATGAACTACATGGTATAGGAAGTATTAATAAAGACTTAGAGTGCTAGGAATAGCATTCACTGTATTTTAGTTAATTTCATGGGGCTGGGATTGTGGCTCAGCGGTAGAGCACTCGCCTAGCATGGGTGGGACCCGGGTTTGATCCTCAGCACCACATAAAAATAAAGGCATTGTGTTGTATCCATCTACACCTAAAATAAAATAAAATAAAATAAAACAAAGCAAAAAAAAGTTAATTTCAAGTTGTATTCCAATTAGACATGCAAAGTCAACCATTCTCCTTGGTGGTGGCAGTTGGTGCATATTTATAGAAAATTCTGACTTTGCTTTTAAGACTTCATTATTTTAATTTGAATCACAATGTAGCTGAGACCTCAACACTGTATTACTCTAATCTGTGTTCCAAACAAAAAGAATTTTAAAACCAAGTCAAAGCCTACATTAGAAATATGCCTTCATTTAAATGGATTCAATCAGAGAATTCAAATTCATAGGAACACAAGCACTCCTGAAGAGCACTGACTTTAACCCAGGGAAAAATTAATCAGCTAAATTATATTCTCCTGAGTGTTTTCAAAACCCTTGGCATATACTTTGGCATTAGGTTGCTGCCAGGGATTGTAAATCTCCTTGCATATCAAGTGGGCCCTGGAACCATGTGAACATTCTAGAACAAAACAACTGAGTAATATTGGTTGGTTCTGAATAACTAATCCTTTGATAAGTTAGTTTTATTAAATGGCAGGTTACTCTTCATTCTCACAATATTAGTATTGTTTTTGGGGTGTGTGAATGTGCCTGGTGTTGGATCTGATGATCAGCTCAGAGCTCTTTCTAATCAGTCCAAATGTGCTCTTGTGATTTCTAAAAAGTTTAAACTCGTTTCTAAGTAGTGGAACCACACTTCAAAATTCTTTTCGTTTTATAAAGTTTCCCTTTATTATGATATAATATGATAGTTAAATACCCAAAAAAGCTTTGTTTACATGTATCTTCAGTTGAGAAATAGAAGTATTCTAAACTCTTTATCTCTGAAGCCTGTAAGTGATTTTACAACTTAAGAGTATTTTATGCTCAGATGCTTTTTTCTGAGCATAAAATGTTAAGCTCTTTGGACAGGTTCCTGTACAATTTCTTGACTTTTTTTTCTCGAGGGTTCCTCTGTGCGATTCATTCAAAATTATAAGAGAAGGGCAACCACATGTCACTTTAAATTATTGTGCAAAGACCTCAAAAGTGCATGGGGCACTCTCTTGTATAATTTAGTTATTTTAAATATTTTATAAGGTAACTTAGTGGCATTCCAGAATTATCCTGAGAGCTGCAAATACAAATTATTCATTGCTGGCACTTATGCAAACATTTCTCCACTGTAACCACTTATGACTCTTTGGCTCTTGTTGTTTTGAATCCTAGCTGACACCCTCGGAGTTCCTGAAGGAGATGTCCCTCACCACAGAGCAGAGACTGGCAAATACCCATGTGATGTACCGGCCACAGATCGTTGAACTCTTAGATATGGGGGAGACCACTCATCAAAAGGTAGATGAGCCTGAAGCTAGATCATGGGAACTTTCCGGAACAGTAACTAAATGAAAATGGTCATCTCTGGCTACCCAGTCCTTCCTTGGGTTTGCTTTGTGTGCTCCTTTTCTGCCTCCATTATCCTGAGTTCTATGATTTGGTGTGGTGAGGGCCGCAAGTAACAAGTGAAATAACAAATATCTAAAACTTTTTGACTAGTCCTTCTTTAGGTACTTCTAGACACTGTTTGAAACTATTGCTTCCAGGTTAGGAGTTATTCCAAGAACTATATTAGCTAAGCCCAATTAAGTTATCCTTTTAGGATAACAAACAATCCCTTCTTAATGAGCTGTCTAGTAAGAAAGAAGAAGTTGGCCTTGTTTACTGAAGTAGGCATTCATTGTCTATTTTGGCTTATTTCCAAAAACAATTATATCATTTTAGTCTAAAAAGAACAATTTAACTTGTTTTTATATTCTAAGGCAAACCATATGCTCTAGGTTTTAGGAGTTTATGATTATAAAAGAAGGTCTCATTCCCTATTTTTTAATTAATTTCCTAAGCTTAATGCTTCATTTTAAGCATAATTTATGCATGAATTATGGTTGAACTCTATCAGTTGGAGTGCTGCAGATCAGCCTCTTTTGGAAGGATTCCCTAGCTCTTCCTGAGAGTTTTGAGTTATATCCCACATGGGAAGGAGTCCCTGAAGTTCCTTTGCTCTTGCTGCCCCAAGGACTTTGCACATCATCGACTCCCTGTTTAGGATTCACATACAATTTGCTGCTCTGAACTTCGCTAGCTTTAATTATTAATTGTGTCATCTCTTCCCTACAACCAGCCTCCACATCTGAGGGGAGGGGAACATGGCCTTGCCCATCTTACAGTTTAGTAGCAAGTGGTATAAACTTTGCCTTTGCAAATATATCTTTAATCAAACCACTTCTCCCTGACTCCTCCACCACCATCATCTAGACCACAGAAACACCCTCCCTGCTTCTAGCCAACACTCCTTTGTCAATTCTCCATGAACAGTCAGAGCGATTTCTAAACATTAAACCAGAACATGTCTAAAAACACCTTGTAACTTCCCATTACTGTCATAAGAAAAATAGCTAAACTTGACTCTCAGGTGCTGTGTCACATAGCCCTGCCTCCTACGTGGGACTCTTTTCCTTCCACTGTTATGTCTGGTTTTTTCTCTACTAACTGCGCTTGCCTCTTGCTGCTCCTTAGACATGGTAAGATAATTACCCTGAGTGAAGGAGAGATGGTTGCTGTTTTAGACAGGTAGCCAAGGGAAGGCCTGCCTCAGGGGTTGACACCTAGCAGAGATCTGAGGGAAGAGCATTGCAGTCAGAAGGAAGAGCAAGTGCAAAGTCCTTGGAGTGAGGACATCAACTCCAGGAGGGTGGGAGCTTTGTTGGCATCGTTCCTAACTTTATGTTTAATTTGGAAAGGAACCTGGCACGTATTGCAAATTCGGTATTTATTGAACGAAAATACGAACTTTCTCTTCTAACTGCTTATATCCTTCCTATATTCTTGAATGTTTGTTTTGTGTTCTTTGATTTTTTTTTCCCTGTTATGTTCTTTGAATTTATGGTGAAATGGTGCAGTTAAAATTTTCATTGCTTTGTTGCAACAATTTTCTGGCAAATATTCATTTTTCCCCCTTTACCTAGTGCATTATATTTGTACATAATATTTGGGTTCATTTTGACAGCGTCATATGTGCATGGAATTTGTTTGACTATATTTCTGTCCTTGGTGCCACTGCTCCCCCAACCCTACATTCTCCCTCTCCCCCATTCTTCCTCTACTGGTTTTTGGTTCGTTTGTTTGTTTGTTTATTTATTTATTTATTGGTACCAGGGATTGAACTCAGGGGCACTCAAGCACTGAGCCACATCCCCGGCCTTATTTTGTATTCTACTTAGAGACAGGGTCTCACTGGGTTGCTTAGCGTATCACTTTTTGCTGAAGCAGGCTTTGAACTTGTGATCCTCCTACTTTGGCCTCCTGAGCTGCTGGGATTACTGGCTTGTGCCACCACACCCGGCTATTTGTTTATTTTTGATTGGCACTTTTTACAAATACATTACAGTGGAATCCACTTTGGTACATTTATACATTCACGTAGTGTGATTTTTGTAAATTCATTACACAGTTCCTCCCCATTCCTGTCCTTCCTCCCACCCCTCAGTCTCTTTCTACTCCACTGATCTTCATTATATATATCTATGATATTCAGTCCCCACTTCATCCCTTGATTTTCTGAATCTGGCTTATTTCACATTTGTGTATATATACCACTTTTCTTTATCCATTTGTCTGTTGAAGGGCACCAACTCTGATTCCATAGTTTGTCTATTGTGAGTTGTGCTGCTTTAAACAATGATGGCTATAACACTGTAGTATGCTGATTTTAGTTCTTTTGGATAAATGCTGAGGAGTGGAATAGCTGGGTCATATGGTGGATCTGTTCCTATTCTTTTTTTTCCAATTTTTTTTAAATTCATAGATGAACACAATATCTTTATTTTATTTATTTATTTTTATGTGGTGCTGAGGAACCCAGTGCTTCACACGTGTGAGGCAAGCACTCTGCCACTGAGCCACAACCCCAGTCCTGTTCCTATTCTTTTGAGGAATCTCAGCATTGCTTTCCAAAGTGGTTGTACTAATTTGCCATCCCACCAACAGTATATGATTGTCCCATTCCCCCGACATCCTCACTAGCATTTATTATAGTTTGTTTTCTTGGTCATTGCTATTCTGACTGGAGTGAGATGAAATATTAATGTAGTTTTGATTTTTAAATATTAATGTAGATTTGATTTTTCATTTCTCTGAATGCTAGAGAGGTTGAATATTTTTTCATTTACTTATTGACCATTGTGCTGCTTTTTTTAAAAAAAATTCTGTTTAATTCTTTTGCCTATTTATTGATTGGGTTGTTTTTTGGTGTTAAGTTTTTTGAGTTCTTTATATATTCTGGATATTAATTCCCCATCAAAGGACTGGCTGGCAAGGATTTTCTACCTTTCTGTAGGCACTCTCTTCACATTTTTAATAATTTTCTTTGCTATACAGAAGATTTTAAAATTTTACTGTATCCCACGTACTGATTCTTGGTTTTATTTCTTGAGCTTAAGAGGTCTTGTGAAGGAAGTTGGTGCCCACACCAACATGATGGAGTGCTGACCCTGTTTTCTTCTAGCAAAGTTTCTGGTTTAATTCCTAAGTCTGATCCACTTTGACTTTTGTGCAGGGCAAGAGATAGGAATCTAGTTTCATTCTTCTACATACAGATATACAATCTCCCCAGTACCATTTGTTAAAAAGGCTATCTTTTGTCTAACATGTAGTTTGGGCATCCTTGTCAAATATCAGATGACTGTAAGTATGTGGGTTTGTCTCTGTGTCTCCTATTCCATTGGTTTTCATGTCTATTTTGATGCCGATGTCACGCTGTTTTTGTTACTATCACTCTGTAGTGAGAGAAATCAGGTGTTGTGATGCCTCCTGAGTCATTCTTCTTGCTCAGGGTTGCTTTGGCTCTTCTGGTTTTCTTATTCTTCCAAATGAATTTTAGAACTGTATTTTCTTGTTCTGAGAAGAATGTAATTTGTATTTTGACGGGGATTGTATTGAATCTATAACACTTTTGGTAATATGGCCATTTGGACAATATTAATTCTACCTATCCAAGAACATGGATGGTCTTTCCATTTTCTAAGGTTTTATTCAATTTCTTTCTAATTGTTCTATAATTTTCATTGTAGTGATTTTGCATCCCCTTGGTTGATTAATTTCTAAGGGGTGTGTGTGTGTGTGTGTGTGTGTGTGTGTGTGTGTATTGTGAATGGAATCGTTTTCCTGATTTCTCTCTCAGCATAATCAGTGTTGGAGTATAGGAAAGCTTTTGATTTATGAATGTTGGTCTTGTATCCTGCTACTTTTATGAATTCATTTATCAACTCTGATTAACTCTAGAAGTCTTCCAGTAAAGTGGGATTTTTGGTGGGGGAGGGGGTCTTCTAGGAAACTATTTGTACCTCTTTAATTTCCTTCTCATTTGATTTCTCAAGAACTATATTGAATGGGAATGGTAAGAGCGGACATCCTTGCCTTGTTCCTGATTTTAGAGGAAATGCTTTTAGTTTTTCTCTGTTCTATATGATGTTGGCTTTGGGTTTGTTTATATTGTTTTATAATAGCCTTTATAATGTTGAGGTAAATTCCTTCCATTCCTAGTTTCTCCTGTAGTTTAACATGAATAGGTACTGGATTTTATTTATTTATTTTATTTTAATATTTTCTTTTAGCTTTTATTTATGTATACACATAAACACATATTACACACACTTTATGTTGTAAAAAAGAAAAGAGCATATTGTATTGTGGGTTTTCTTGTACTACTGTATCAGAAGTTATATTCCAGATGGACAAATGTGCTTTTGAAAGCACATTTTTTTTAAAATCACTACATTAAATTCCACTATTTTGATCTATTAGAAAATATTCAACCATTTCCTATTAGTGTTTATTTAGGTTGTTACCAGTTTTTCTCCAGTGTAACTAGTGCCTAAGTAAACATATTGCAGATAAATCATTGTCTGCATTCTTGAGTATTTTCTTTATGCCAGATTCCTAGATGTAGAGTCATTAAGTTAAAAAACATGCTTTCAAAAAACACATTTGAAAATATTAAAGTAAATATGATATAAAAAAAGAAAGACACATTTGATACATATTGTCATTTACTTTGCAAAGAGGTTGCAAAAGCTTTTTCTTCTGCCAGTCATTTGAAAAAATTTCTTTTTACAATTAGTCTTTTTAAAAATGATGCCACTTTGGTAGGTTGAGAGTCACATTTCATTGTAGTTTTAACTTCTGTTTTTCTATTTACTTATGAGGCAGAATATGATTTTATTTTATTTTATTTTAATTTTTATTGTTGGTTGTTCAAAACATTACATAGTTCTTGATATATCATATTTCACACTTTGATT